TTATCAGTTCTTACACATCCGAGTATATATACGCGGCAATGTTCCGTTGCACTGTAGGTAAACAGGTGTTTCCCGCCCGGCTGAGTTGTTGTAATGGAGTATCCTGCTTCGTTTCCCTGAGGCGTTGTTGCGTCAGTGCTGCTAGTCTGCAGTACAGAGGTTACATTGATAGGCATTCGGAAGCCGCCAAGATATTCTGGCATCTGTTGTCTTGCGTCCGGGCTAATCGTATTAAAGATACTGCGGATGATTTCGTGGTATCGATTTCCTCCGCGTGCCAATGCTTCTTGCCATTGCTGGATACTGAATGCGCGGCGAAGCGCTGCAATATTAATGCTGTTGGTTTCTCCCAAGTCTGCCCACAGGTTACTAGGAATGATAAAGTCTGCATTGCTGCTGGAGATTGTCGCGTTGTTATTAATATAGGTTGTATAATGTCCGGTGCTGCTCGGCGTAGGTGAATCTGTCATAATAGCGCGGTAGCCTGAGCTTGCTGCTGTGGTGCTTGTTCCGCCGCCGTTTCGTCTCTGCCATTTTAAGACGCTCAGTTTACCATCTTCCAACAGCTGTTTGATGTCGATTTCATTTTCTGCGGTGTATACTGGTGCTGTTCCACCGATAGGTATAGTTACGCCCGGTCCGAACTGTGTATCAGGCAGCGCGCTGGTGAAATAATCGTGAAATTTTGCTACAGGCAGCAGCTCACCGCCTAGTTCTGCATCTGTGATGTAATTACTGCCATTAGATCCAGTTCGATTAGTATCGTCCACATATATATGTGCAGGATCCTTCAGTGGTTCACTTCGGAACCAATCATTCCAAATTAAATTGTACCCGCGGAAGTAAGTTGCATCGATTTCGATGTTTTCTACTTTAGTAGGAATACCCATATAGTCTGCTATGGTTCCTTCTGCCCATCCGCCGGTAGGCGCTGTAAGTTTCGGTTTGGTATATGTGGTGCTTGACGTCCACGCGTCTGCCGTGTTCTCGCCCATAAATTCTTTGAAGTGTTCCCATGTCAGGCGCTCCGGTACTGCAAACGCGTAAATATCCATGTATGCATTATCCATGACAGGTTTAATAGGCGTCGCCATTCGAATTACTGCGCTCATGTCCATTTTCATGGTGTCGCTAGGAAGCATTTCCAATACTGCTAATGGTACCAATTTACCACTATTCCAAGTGGTTTTATGGTCAAAAGATATATCAAAATTGCTTCGCTGGATATAAGATTGCGGAGCTGCATTAAAATGTGCTTCGGTGTTACGGTTCGTTGTTTCCACTCTCCTTTACTTCCGGCGCAGCTGCGTCCGGTTCTGTGCTCATGAAGCCTAAGGTCTCTGCCCAAGGCTGCGACCCGTAGGCATTAATAAATACATCGGCCGAGTTATTAAACTTTGCTCGTGTTTCTTCGTCTAAGGTCATAAAGTAGTTTCTAGCTTCTAAGATGGCTTGCTGCGCCTCCATCAGGTTTTTTGGCATTTCGGTTACATCGATATAATTTCCCTCAGGCCGCAGGCCTCTCGTGTCGCCGTTGATTGCTCGTTCCATGATGTTTGTAATTTTGCAGCTTTCAAGGCTTACTTGAATTTTCTCATATACTGGTTCTCGCTCCGGCGCTAGTACCAGTACTTTTCCGTCTTTTGTATGCTTATATTCGTAGATTGCTTTGTCCGGTAAACCTGATTCTGTGATAAATCTTTCTTTCTTGTCGTATGCTGTTTTAAATACTGCCATCTTCCATGACCTCATAGATATTGCTGGTCAGTTTTCCATTCTCTGTTTCAAACTCGCCAATATGCCATAACTCAAAATCGGCAGGGTACTGTGCAATGATATTTGTTTTGTCTGCCAGTAGTGCATTGTACATGCGTTTGGCCACGGCATCGTTGGCTGCATCAAAGCGGTTGCTGAAGCCTACTTTAATATCTCGGATTGCGTAAATATTCTGTGTCACAGTCGCGTACCTCCTCGCATTACCTTAGGTGTAAGATTGATTTTTTTGGTTTTCGTCCCTGCTTTAAAAATTCTGCGGTTGGCTGCTTTGCTAATCTTTCTGCGCTTCATTTTGCGTCACCTCCTTATTTATACAAGTGTAACAAAAAAAAAAAAAAAATAAAGCCTTTTTTTTGGTTGAAAAGTCAGTGTATAATGTTGACAAATTCCGCATTTTTTTTGTATTATTGTGTTGCGGAGTGGTTGCCGCCTGATTATGTTTTACGCTGCCAGCGATGGCAGTGTATTTGTGCATATGCACACATACCCCCTGCAGGTTAACAACCACCCTGCAAGGGGGTATTTTTTTGTCTTTGGAAAATTTTATTTCCCAATTTGATGGCAGCACTCGATTTAGGCTTACTTATTTCGAAGATGAGTGCTTTTATCACACGGTTGAGTTCTCTAGGTGTTCTAATTGGCGTTCTGTTGTTCCTGAGGATGTTCAGCTGCGTGAGATTTTTAATACTTCTGTTCATGATGGCCTTGTTGAACTTTATGTTTATTGTCTGCCTGATATTGTTCATCCTCTTTAATTAAATTTAATATTGCCTGCCCGGTGCAGCGTGCGCACCGGCCAAACCCTGCACGCTAAATCGATAATCCCGCCAGCTGACGAAAGTCAGGTCATAGAGATGTTTAACCGCTACAGGCTGACCGATGCGGATATGCTCTATCGTGCGCGGGCGCGTGCGCGTTTTCGCGCGTGTGCCTGTGCGCGGCTGTGTACTTATACGGCTCTACAACTGGAGTGTATAGCAGCGACCCCTTTGCAAGGGGTCGCTATGCCCTTTCCGGATACACTGAAATGTATATGTATCGGGGAAAAGGGGAGCGCCCTAGCGGCAAGGGGAAAAGGGGAAATCTTTTCCCCGACGAGCGAATATTAACAAGCGCTCATATCATCATAGAATAGAAACTCCCTATACAGAGGGGCGCGCATCCTGCGCCCAACTGTATAGGGAGTTAAGTTTTATATTGGTTCCAGCACAGTTTCCAACTTGATTCAACTGTGCTGGATGACAGATTTAAGTGCCGGGCCCGTGGAATGAGTAACTACGCTGTTCTCCGTCTTTAAAGAACTTCTGCACAGCGCCTGCAGTGTCGCTGATTGTGTCAAGGATTTTTTTGCCTGTTTCTAGTACCTTTCCACCCGCTCCGGCAACTTTTCCGGCGGCTGTGCCGTTCAGGATTGTGGTTGCCGCATCTGCCATACCGCGTACTAGATAACCTGTGTACGGTATGCTCTCGCTCATGCTTCCCCACGCGCTGCCGCTATTACCCTGTGAATAGCTGCTGGTATCCACGCCGCCGCTCACGGTGGCAGCACCGCCGCTCCCAACCTGAGCGCCACCGTTTCCCGCTGCTAAGATGGGATTAATTCCCGCTGCTTTCATGTCTTTAATGGCTCTTTGATATGCCGTGTTACTCATTCGTTCTTGCCAATCTCTATTTACTTGCGCCTGTTGTGAGTTGTAATTCATGGCTGCTTGCATCATTTCCCACGCGCTGCCATTACTTCCTCTTAATGCAAAGTTGCTGCTGCCGGAGTTTCCCCAGCTGCTGGAACTGCCTACACCACCGCCCAGTAAACTTTCTAAGCCCATTATATTTTGCTCCTTTCTAGTTTTTTACGCTTTGCTCTTTCTTCGGCCTGTAAGAACTGCTCGCCCAGAGTGCAGCTGTTTTGCTCTTTGGCTGTTAAAAGTGCGTCATTGCCTGCGTCCGCTCGCCTTTCTTTGATGGCTGCCATTATTTGCGGCTGTTCTTCTTCGAACCACTTGTCAAAGATTCTTGGCGGCTTGCAGGTTTTTGCGTGTGTTCGCCCTCGGACTATTACCGTATCATTTCGGTATATGTTTTCTTTGTGCAACTCGTAATACTTTCGTCCTACTCCGTTACTGACAACGCTCCACGGAGATTCAATACATTGCCATTCGTAGATGGCTGCATTCTGTCCTTTTTGTTTTTTGGTCATGTATCTGCCTATGTACGCAGCTGCGTCCCATTCTAATAGACCTATTGTTATGTTGCCGTGGTTCCATATTTTGCGCAGCCATTCGCTTTCGAAATATGTGCAGTTGTACTCGTTTTTTCCGATTGGTTTTATGTCCGGTATTTCGAGGTTAAATATCGCTTCGTGATAGTGCGGTCGAAATGTTGTATCGCCGTACTCTGCTGCAGTAAAAAACTTGATGTTTTCTTGCCCTAGTTCTCGCGCTGCGTGTTCTCTTAGGCGTTTATGATATTTTTGTATGTCTTCTTTGCAGACGGTATATCCGGTTTGTATTATTTCTCCGGTTTCCGTGTTTATTCTATGTCGTTTCGGTATACACTCATCGTCATATGTCAATGTTATAAACCATGATTGCCGTTCTGATGTTTCGGCTTCCATCATGCAGCGTGTCGCCCAATCTCTTGCGTATCGTAGCCTACACTGCATACACTGACCACACGGTACTAGTTTATAACCCGGAGTCAGTTTATCGTACTGCCCCGGGTTATAACCGCCTAGTATTTTTTTATTGTTTCCGTCCCAAATGAGAGGATGTGCGCAGTTTATTAGAGTTTTGTAAGACCCGGGATGCTGTATACAGGCATCGGACGAGTCATGATGCATTTAAAGTAGAAATCACCGAAAAACTGGTGCGCCAGTTCTGAGGTTACTGCAAGCGTTCTGTCAATGTTGCTCTTAGGTTCATCAATCCATTCACTGGAAAGATACGGCTGACTTGCGTAATCGTCAGCATAGTGCCAACTGTCAAGGCTACCCGCAGTGCTGTTGCTGCGGAAATGACCACTAACACGGTTGGGTTCCATGCGATATTCTGCCCAGGCTTCTTGGTAGCCCCATGCTTCTTCATCTGCTGCCGTTCCCTGGGCGTAGATTTCTTTATTAAGGATGGCACATTCCGAAATGTTAGCCAGCTGAGGCCAATAGTAACTAAATTTATCAAATCTAGTAAATTTTCTGTTCAAGCCCTGCTGGTAAGTGTTATCAGTTCTTACACATCCGAGTATATATACGCGGCAATGTTCCGTTGCACTGTAGGTAAACAGGTGTTTCCCGCCGGCTGAGTTGTTGTAATGGAGTATCCTGCTTCGTTTCCCTGAGGCGTTGTTGCGTCAGTGCTGCTAGTCTGCAGTACAGAGGTTACATTGATAGGCATTCGGAAGCCGCCAAGATATTCTGGCATCTGTTGTCTTGCGTCCGGGCTAATCGTATTAAAGATACTGCGGATGATTTCGTGGTATCGATTTCCTCCGCGTGCCAATGCTTCTTGCCATTGCTGGATACTGAATGCGCGGCGAAGCGCTGCAATATTAATGCTGTTGGTTTCTCCCAAGTCTGCCCACAGGTTACTAGGAATGATAAAGTCTGCATTGCTGCTGGAGATTGTCGCGTTGTTATTAATATAGGTTGTATAATGTCCGGTGCTGCTCGGCGTAGGTGAATCTGTCATAATAGCGCGGTAGCCTGAGCTTGCTGCTGTGGTGCTTGTTCCGCCGCCGTTTCGTCTCTGCCATTTTAAGACGCTCAGTTTACCATCTTCCAACAGCTGTTTGATGTCGATTTCATTTTCTGCGGTGTATACTGGTGCTGTTCCACCGATAGGTATAGTTACGCCCGGTCCGAACTGTGTATCAGGCAGCGCGCTGGTGAAATAATCGTGAAATTTTGCTACAGGCAGCAGCTCACCGCCTAGTTCTGCATCTGTGATGTAATTACTGCCATTAGATCCAGTTCGATTAGTATCGTCCACATATATATGTGCAGGATCCTTCAGTGGTTCACTTCGGAACCAATCATTCCAAATAAATTGTACCCGCGGAAGTAAGTTGCATCGATTTCGATGTTTTCTACTTTAGTAGGAATACCCATATAGTCTGCTATGGTTCCTTCTGCCCATCCGCCGGTAGGCGCTGTAAGTTTCGGTTTGGTATATGTGGTGCTTGACGTCCACGCGTCTGCCGTGTTCTCGCCCATAAATTCTTTGAAGTGTTCCCATGTCAGGCGCTCCGGTACTGCAAACGCGTAAATATCCATGTATGCATTATCCATGACAGGTTTAATAGGCGTCGCCATTCGAATTACTGCGCTCATGTCCATTTTCATGGTGTCGCTAGGAAGCATTTCCAATACTGCTAATGGTACCAATTTACCACTATTCCAAGTGGTTTTATGGTCAAAAGATATATCAAAATTGCTTCGCTGGATATAAGATTGCGGAGCTGCATTAAAATGTGCTTCGGTGTTACGGTTCGTTGTTTCCACTCTCCTTTACTTCCGGCGCAGCTGCGTCCGGTTCTGTGCTCATGAAGCCTAAGGTCTCTGCCCAAGGCTGCGACCCGTAGGCATTAATAAATACATCGGCCGAGTTATTAAACTTTGCTCGTGTTTCTTCGTCTAAGGTCATAAAGTAGTTTCTAGCTTCTAAGATGGCTTGCTGCGCCTCCATCAGGTTTTTTGGCATTTCGGTTACATCGATATAATTTCCCTCAGGCCGCAGGCCTCTCGTGTCGCCGTTGATTGCTCGTTCCATGATGTTTGTAATTTTGCAGCTTTCAAGGCTTACTTGAATTTTCTCATATACTGGTTCTCGCTCCGGCGCTAGTACCAGTACTTTTCCGTCTTTTGTATGCTTATATTCGTAGATTGCTTTGTCCGGTAAACCTGATTCTGTGATAAATCTTTCTTTCTTGTCGTATGCTGTTTTAAATACTGCCATCTTCCATGACCTCATAGATATTGCTGGTCAGTTTTCCATTCTCTGTTTCAAACTCGCCAATATGCCCATAACTCAAAATCGGCAGGGTACTGTGCAATGATATTTGTTTTGTCTGCCAGTAGTGCATTGTACATGCGTTTGGCCACGGCATCGTTGGCTGCATCAAAGCGGTTGCTGAAGCCTACTTTAATATCTCGGATTGCGTAAATATTCTGTGTCACAGTCGCGTACCTCCTCGCATTACCTTAGGTGTAAGATTGATTTTTTTGGTTTTCTTCCCTGCTTTAAAATTCTGCGGTTGGCTGCTTTGCTAATCTTTCTGCGCTTCATTTTGCGTCACCTCCTTATTTATACAAGTGTAACAAAAAAAAAAAAAAATAAAGCCTTTTTTTTGGTTGAAAAGTCAGTGTATAATGTTGACAAATTCCGCATTTTTTTTGTATTATTGTGTTGCGGAGTGGTTGCCGCCTGATTATGTTTTACGCTGCCAGCGATGGCAGTGTATTTGTGCATATGCACACATACCCCCTGCAGGTTAACAACCACCCTGCAAGGGGGTATTTTTTTGTCTTTGGAAAATTTTATTTCCCAATTTGATGGCAGCACTCGATTTAGGCTTACTTATTTCGAAGATGAGTGCTTTTATCACACGGTTGAGTTCTCTAGGTGTTCTAATTGGCGTTCTGTTGTTCTGAGGATGTTCAGCTGCGTGAGATTTTTAATACTTCTGTTCATGATGGCCTTGTTGAACTTTATGTTTATTGTCTGCCTGATATTGTTCATCCTCTTTAATTAAATTTAATATTGCCTGCCCGGTGCAGCGTGCGCACCGGCCAAACCCTGCACGCTAAATCGATAATCCCGCCAGCTGACGAAAGTCAGGTCATAGAGATGTTTAACCGCTACAGGCTGACCGATGCGGATATGCTCTATCGTGCGCGGGCGCGTGCGCGTTTTCGCGCGTGTGCCTGTGCGCGGCTGTGTACTTATACGGCTCTACAACTGGAGTGTATAGCAGCGACCCCTTTGCAAGGGGTCGCTATGCCCTTTCCGGATACACTGAAATGTATATGTATCGGGGAAAAGGGGAGCGCCCTAGCGGCAAGGGAAAAGGGGAAATCTTTTCCCCGACGAGCGAATATTAACAAGCGCTCATATCATCATAGAATAGAAACTCCCTATACAGAGGGGCGCGCATCCTGCGCCCAACTGTATAGGGAGTTAAGTTTTATATTGGTTCCAGCACAGTTTCCAACTTGATTCAACTGTGCTGGATGACAGATTTAAGTGCCGGGCCCGTGAATGAGTAACTACGCTGTTCTCCGTCTTTAAAGAACTTCTGCACAGCGCCTGCAGTGTCGCTGATTGTGTCAAGGATTTTTTTGCCTGTTTCTAGTACCTTTCACCCGCTCCGGCAACTTTTCCGGCGGCTGTGCCGTTCAGGATTGTGGTTGCCGCATCTGCCATACCGCGTACTAGATAACCTGTGTACGGTATGCTCTCGCTCATGCTTCCCCACGCGCTGCCGCTATTACCCTGTGAATAGCTGCTGGTATCCACGCCGCCGCTCACGGTGGCAGCACCGCCGCTCCCAACCTGAGCGCCACCGTTTCCCGCTGCTAAGATGGGATTAATTCCCGCTGCTTTCATGTCTTTAATGGCTCTTTGATATGCCGTGTTACTCATTCGTTCTTGCCAATCTCTATTTACTTGCGCCTGTTGTGAGTTGTAATTCATGGCTGCTTGCATCATTTCCCACGCGCTGCCATTACTTCCGCTTAATGCAAAGTTGCTGCTGCCGGAGTTTCCCCAGCTGCTGGAACTGCCTACACCACCGCCCAGTAAACTTTCTAAGCCCATTATATTTTGCTCCTTTCTAGTTTTTTTACGCTTTGCTCTTTCTTCGGCCTGTAAGAACTGCTCGCCCAGAGTGCAGCTGTTTTGCTCTTTGGCTGTTAAAAGTGCGTCATTGCCTGCGTCCGCTCGCCTTTCTTTGATGGCTGCCATTATTTGCGGCTGTTCTTCTTCGAACCACTTGTCAAAGATTCTTGGCGGCTTGCAGGTTTTTTGCGTGTGTTCGCCCTCGGACTATTACCGTATCATTTCGGTATATGTTTTCTTTGTGCAACTCGTAATACTTTCGTCCTACTCCGTTACTGACAACGCTCCACGGAGATTCAATACATTGCCATTCGTAGATGGCTGCATTCTGTCCTTTTTGTTTTTTGGTCATGTATCTGCCTGCCTATGTACGCAGCTGCGTCCCATTCTAATAGACCTATTGTTATGTTGCCGTGGTTCCATATTTTGCGCAGCCATTCGCTTTCGAAATATGTGCAGTTGTACTCGTTTTTTCCGATTGGTTTTATGTCCGGTATTTCGAGGTTAAATATCGCTTCGTGATAGTGCGGTCGAAATGTTGTATCGCCGTACTCTGCTGCAGTAAAAAACTTGATGTTTTCTTGCCCTAGTTCTCGCGCTGCGTGTTCTCTTAGGCGTTTATGATATTTTTGTATGTCTTCTTTGCAGACGGTATATCCGGTTTGTATTATTTCTCCGGTTTCCGTGTTTATTCTATGTCGTTTCGGTATACACTCATCGTCATATGTCAATGTTATAAACCATGATTGCCGTTCTGATGTTTCGGCTTCCATCATGCAGCGTGTCGCCCAATCTCTTGCGTATCGTAGCCTACACTGCATACACTGACCACACGGTACTAGTTTATAACCCGGAGTCAGTTTATCGTACTGCCCCGGGTTATAACCGCCTAGTATTTTTTTATTGTTTCCGTCCCAAATGAGAGGATGTGCGCAGTTTATTAGAGTTTTGTAAGACCCGGGATGCTGTATACAGGCATCGGACGAGTCATGATGCATTTAAAGTAGAAATCACCGAAAAACTGGTGCGCCAGTTCTGAGGTTACTGCAAGCGTTCTGTCAATGTTGCTCTTAGGTTCATCAATCCATTCACTGGAAAGATACGGCTGACTTGCGTAATCGTCAGCATAGTGCCAACTGTCAAGGCTACCCGCAGTGCTGTTGCTGCGGAAATGACCACTAACACGGTTGGGTTCCATGCGATATTCTGCCCAGGCTTCTTGGTAGCCCCATGCTTCTTCATCTGCTGCCGTTCCCTGGGCGTAGATTTCTTTATTAAGGATGGCACATTCCGAAATGTTAGCCAGCTGAGGCCAATAGTAACTAAATTTATCAAATCTAGTAAATTTTCTGTTCAAGCCCTGCTGGTAAGTGTTATCAGTTCTTACACATCCGAGTATATATACGCGGCAATGTTCCGTTGCACTGTAGGTAAACAGGTGTTTCCCGCCCGGCTGAGTTGTTGTAATGGAGTATCCTGCTTCGTTTCCCTGAGGCGTTGTTGCGTCAGTGCTGCTAGTCTGCAGTACAGAGGTTACATTGATAGGCATTCGGAAGCCGCCAAGATATTCTGGCATCTGTTGTCTTGCGTCCGGGCTAATCGTATTAAAGATACTGCGGATGATTTCGTGGTATCGATTTCCTCCGCGTGCCAATGCTTCTTGCCATTGCTGGATACTGAATGCGCGGCGAAGCGCTGCAATATTAATGCTGTTGGTTTCTCCCAAGTCTGCCCACAGGTTACTAGGAATGATAAAGTCTGCATTGCTGCTGGAGATTGTCGCGTTGTTATTAATATAGGTTGTATAATGTCCGGTGCTGCTCGGCGTAGGTGAATCTGTCATAATAGCGCGGTAGCCTGAGCTTGCTGCTGTGGTGCTTGTTCCGCCGCCGTTTCGTCTCTGCCATTTTAAGACGCTCAGTTTACCATCTTCCAACAGCTGTTTGATGTCGATTTCATTTTCTGCGGTGTATACTGGTGCTGTTCCACCGATAGGTATAGTTACGCCCGGTCCGAACTGTGTATCAGGCAGCGCGCTGGTGAAATAATCGTGAAATTTTGCTACAGGCAGCAGCTCACCGCCTAGTTCTGCATCTGTGATGTAATTACTGCCATTAGATCCAGTTCGATTAGTATCGTCCACATATATATGTGCAGGATCCTTCAGTGGTTCACTTCGGAACCAATCATTCCAAATTAAATTGTACCCGCGGAAGTAAGTTGCATCGATTTCGATGTTTTCTACTTTAGTAGGAATACCCATATAGTCTGCTATGGTTCCTTCTGCCCATCCGCCGGTAGGCGCTGTAAGTTTCGGTTTGGTATATGTGGTGCTTGACGTCCACGCGTCTGCCGTGTTCTCGCCCATAAATTCTTTGAAGTGTTCCCATGTCAGGCGCTCCGGTACTGCAAACGCGTAAATATCCATGTATGCATTATCCATGACAGGTTTAATAGGCGTCGCCATTCGAATTACTGCGCTCATGTCCATTTTCATGGTGTCGCTAGGAAGCATTTCCAATACTGCTAATGGTACCAATTTACCACTATTCCAAGTGGTTTTATGGTCAAAAGATATATCAAAATTGCTTCGCTGGATATAAGATTGCGGAGCTGCATTAAAATGTGCTTCGGTGTTACGGTTCGTTGTTTCCACTCTCCTTTACTTCCGGCGCAGCTGCGTCCGGTTCTGTGCTCATGAAGCCTAAGGTCTCTGCCCAAGGCTGCGACCCGTAGGCATTAATAAATACATCGGCCGAGTTATTAAACTTTGCTCGTGTTTCTTCGTCTAAGGTCATAAAGTAGTTTCTAGCTTCTAAGATGGCTTGCTGCGCCTCCATCAGGTTTTTTGGCATTTCGGTTACATCGATATAATTTCCCTCAGGCCGCAGGCCTCTCGTGTCGCCGTTGATTGCTCGTTCCATGATGTTTGTAATTTTGCAGCTTTCAAGGCTTACTTGAATTTTCTCATATACTGGTTCTCGCTCCGGCGCTAGTACCAGTACTTTTCCGTCTTTTGTATGCTTATATTCGTAGATTGCTTTGTCCGGTAAACCTGATTCTGTGATAAATCTTTCTTTCTTGTCGTATGCTGTTTTAAATACTGCCATCTTCCATGA